TATATATATATATATGTTATATAAATATTTTCAAGTACATACATGTGTGTGTGAGGGGGGTAGGTGTGCGCACGCGCACTTGAAAAATTATTTGCATGGCATAGAGTCAGCTATAGTACTACTGTGCAATGGCAGACCTGGGACAGGGGTTGCAGTAGTGTGGTGGTGCTCCCCACCCCTTCCGCTGCTTCCACTGCCACTGTCCTTAGCTAACCCAGGTGCAGGGGAGGCCTCACAGCCACTCCTGTCCTGTCTTGTGCAATGGCTCTGTGGGGAGCCAAGATCAGCATGGGATAGCAATGGCAGTTGGCAGGTTTTCTCTTCCAGATGTGAATGCCCAGGTATTCCTGTGGGTGGAGAGCAGGTGATGAATGAAGGAACCCACCCCCATGGTTGCTGCTGTTTTCCAACTGATGCAGGCACAGGAGAGCCCCAGAGCTGCTCCTATCGTGCTCCAGATGGGGTCTGCACAGGGCAGCTGTGTGGAGATCTGGCCTTGGCTGGGAAGAACAGTAGTGACACCTGGACTCCTCCCTTCAACTCCTGCTCCAGGCCAATAGAGGACACCTTGCAGGGGTGGGCAGGGAGCAGCACATTTAATCAAAAGTGGATCTGTATAAAGTATTTGTTCTCAGCATGAGTCAACCCCACAGCTAACAAAGCAAGTACATGCTTCTGCTTTGACTCTCTTAGCTCCCTTCAGTTGCAAAACAATTTGTTTTCCTTCGTGGCCACGCTGGCCAGAGATGCTACATACAATCTTATTTTCCTCTCCAATATGTCCAATTGTAAATACGTTTTATTTAGATGATGCTCAGAACAAGTTAAAGCAGGTCACTAGATTGCACATGGTTGAAGAGAGTCAGATGGAATTTGAATTCAAGCCACTTTTTTTATTTCCTGAAGCAAAATCTATACCGCAAGGTGCTGGCCACTTGCTGACAAATGTATGGTATGGGAAAATCCTATGTTTATGTATCAAATAGGCCGGCTGTCCTGTAACAGATTGTTTTAATTCATATCCAGAGGATTTGATCTTGGTTTTAGCAGAACTGATACCATCTCTATCAAGTTCCTTGATTTCAAATGTTAAGCCATCTAAGGTCTCAAACACACAGCCCTTTTGCAGAAAAAATCCATTTGAAGTGAGTGGGAGTTGACTTGTATGAAAAGCTGTTGGATGGGGTTCTAAACGGGGCTGTGTCGTGCTTTCTATTTTAGAGGACATACATTTAAGACAAAGTAAAATCTCAAACTTAGCGGAAAGTTGTGGCAAAACCTTAACTGCGGAATTGCTAGCACAGCTCCATACTAATAAATAACGTTATATGGACTATATCTGGTTAATATATTTTTATTAACTATTTACCTAAAATAATATAAACTTTCATTTTTTGTTTTTAACATGTACACAACTAATTGGCCAATGCTACTGAAATATACATTGAATATGTATGTAACTCTGTAGGCATTTCGCTTTAAAAAGAACATGATAATAGATCATCATAAAAACAACGGTGCACCTATGACATTTAATAAAAAATAGAAGGAAAGTAATGGTTTGAATGCAGTAAGAACCAGA